TTTTTTCAGCTAATTGCAAAGATTAGAGCTCTGTGCCATCCAAAAATCCCCTCGCCCCTGGCAGTTTGAATACTTGCTTCTTCTGGGAGAAGATAGCTCCACAGTCACAAGAGCTCTTGAATCTCCATGTGAGCCAGCCGCTGTCCTTCTGAGGGTACCAGGAAACATCTGCAGAGAGGTGGTTTGTAAGGATTCATTATGATGATTTACTTGCAGGAGGCCTGTAGCAGGATAATTGACTCGATAAGTTCCTGGTCTTGCCCATGAAAGCACCACATGTAGTACGGGATGCTTCCTCCCATGGTCACACTAATGTGGCACTGCATATCCGTCATACGGTGTCAGCACGTTGGAGTAGGGGGAAAACCTTGTGCTGATTTAATGGACTGTCCCAGCTGAGACCAAATATCCATCTTGGCCAATACCCTGACTCGGAGTGGCCGCTTAGGGAAAAGCCTGTCAACAGGAGAGGTACAGTGCTCTTTCTCTGAAAACTCGTGCCAACTGTGCAAGACTTCATAGAATGGTTTGGGTTGGAAGGGACCTTAAAGATCATCCAGTTCCAACCCCCCTGCCATGGGCAGGGACACCTTCCATAGCCCAGGTTGCTCCAAGCCTCATCCAGCCTGGCCTTGGACACTTCCAGGGATGGGGCATCCACAGCTTCTCTGGGCAACCTGTCCCAGTGCTCCCACCCTCTCCAGGAAGAATTCCTTCCTGATGTCCCATCTCAATCTCCCTCTTTCCATTTAAACCCATTACCCTTGTCCTGTGATATATGCTACAGGTCACTGCAAAATTACCACTAGGAAAGCAAGTGTATATAGGTGTGTATACATATATATATATATAGTCAAGAGTAAAGCCAATATACGTATATTCCAAGGTATTACACAGTTCCAGCTAGCAAAGCAAGTCTGTACTTAAGGAACTATGTGCACAGCTATAAATATATTTTATGAGGTGTTACCAGAATGGCACTCACCCAACTGCTCCCAGGAGTGGGGCCAGTTGGTGATGGAAAAGTCTCACTTCAAAAATGATCCGTGTCACCGAGGCCAGAGTCAGCCAGGCATCCCCAGCAAGGGCCTGGTGTGTGGGAGATCTGCAGGGCAGCTGTTGCAGAGAAGCTGATTTTGGGTAGGTATTGTTACTTTTTATACCTTTTTGGCATAGATTCCTCGTTTTGGGTAGGTATTGGGTTACTTTTTATACCTTTTTGGCGTAGGTTCCTCGTTTTGGGTAGGTATTGGGTTACTTTTTATACCTTTTTGGCGTAGATTCCTCATTTTGGGTAGGTATTGAGTTACTTTTTGTACCTTTTTGGCATAGATTCCTCATTTTGTGTAGGTACCGAGTTACTTTTTATACCTTTTTGGCGTAGATTCCTCATTTTGGGTAGGTATTGAGTTACTTTTTGTACCTTTTTGGCATAGATTACTCATTTTGGGTAGGTATTGGGTTACTTTTTATACCTCATTGGCGTAGATATGTAAGTGGGCGTAGGACATCAGTCCCCTGAATAGTTGTTGACTTCTGTTTTCCTGGAAAGTCAGTTTTTTATCTCACTGTCTTTGTCCTGCCAACTGTTCCCCATCAAGGAGGTTTTGGCTGAGCGTGTCAGGGATGTCTCAGGACTGCTGGCTAAAGACATCCCTCTCTGGAGAAGCTGGGAGGATGCTCTTAAGGCGTCTCAGCTGGCAGCACATGAAGTGTTGAAGGTACAGAGTGGCACGTGGTGGTGTCCAAACTGACGTCGCCAGTGGCGCCTGATGTTACAGCTCATAGTAATGAAGGGACCATGCCAGGAAAACGGAGCAAATACTGGTTGGAGAGAGGCGAGGTGGAGAAGGGCTGTGGGAAGGGACCATGTGGGAGCAGCTGTGTTGAGGACAGGTTGAAAGCTCCATAGTTTAACAGCGTGGCTGTGTTCGATGTGCGTTGACCGCGCTAGGTTGCAGACTTTTGGAGATTTGACAATGTTCAAGTGTCTGCAGCAAGTGCCACTAAAATTTTAAGGTAGTAAAAAACCAAAACAGGAAGAAAAGCAAACCTTTTTCCTGTACAAGTCTGTACAACTGGTTTGAAAGCTGCAGGTTTTCCGTCTGGGATGACTTTGGAAGTCTGCGTGGTGAGGCCATCTGGACATCACGTGAAAATGGATGAGCCAAAAGAGGATCCTGTTTTTGGGAAGTACGTCTCTCTTGCCCTTGGCTGGCCCTCCTGCCAGGCATCCAGCGCCTGCAGGAGCCCTGAATTGGGAAGGGGAGCAAAGGCGTGCAGCTCCTGGGAGGGATGTGGGCTGTGCGTGTCTGCCGGAGGCACACGTCCACTCAGGCTGGCTTTAGCACATCGAGACATTCACAGGCACAATCGAAGAAGAAGGTCACAGGAGCTGGCTTTAAATGTAGAAAAGGAGGAGGAATGAGTAGGTTGGCAGCTTTCTGAGGAATGCAAGGCTCTTGGGGTATAACTTCTGCACAGCCACAGCATGAGGGAAAGATCAGCCTTACTTGCAGCATTGTCAAGTGATGTTCATCGCTGCAAAGGTGACTGGTTTTTCTCCCTTGCTATTAGGTTAGGAAAGCACCAGGACAGGCTGCGAATCCCTTCCCCAAGGATTTCAGGGCAGGGATAACACCTGCTGTGGGTTCAGTGGGGCTGTGCTGGGTTTCCCCAGCTCTCCTCCAGCGTCGGTCCTGTGGTGCGTCTCCCCTGTCTGACCGTGGGAGAAGTCGGTGCGTTCCCTGCAATGCTGACTGGTGGTAGTGGCACATCCATCCTGCTCAGTAGGGAATGGACACTTTCACTTTTACTTCTGGTTTAGGCACTTTCACTTTTGCCTTCACAGAGCCTGCGCAGAGACCTTCCAGGACCTTCTGCTTCCGCAGATGAAACGTGCATGTGTCAGGGTTTTGCCTGAATTTCTGTGAGCCCAGAGTCTTCCTTAGGGTGGGAGCAGATCTGAAGGAGCCTCTTAAATCTGAACGGGGAGATGAGGGTCACAGCAAGCTGCCAGGCTTGGTGCCACGCTCTACAATGGTTTCATCTCATGTATTTATGTATTACTATGGCAACTTTTTTTTTCTCCCCTTTTGGACTTTGATTTTTACAAAGCAGCTGAACTTGCAGGGAGGAGCAAATGGTTGAGTTATCATCTGCAGAATTGCTGTTTGTGTTGCATTTCCAAGAGCTTCCCAGGCTTTTTTTTTTTTTTTTTTTTAAGCCTTCAGCCTTTACCCCTGAAAGACACTGAATATCCAATGTTTCTGCTGATTTAACACCCTGCATCATCAATGTGTGTTCTGTGCCCAGTGGGGTTTTTAACCCTCTGATTTCTCTTTGTGAACTCAGTGTCTCACCTACGCAGCGTGAGGCTCCCAGCATACACATGTAGACGTGGCCTTTCGCATGCTCCCAGACCCCAAACTTGTCGATGGTGCAGAGTTGTGAGGTGCTGCCGGTTAGGAAAAGCAGAATAATGCACCCTAAAAATTGAGATGGTTTGGAGCAGTAGCTGTGAAATTAAATGGCACCCGCCGCAGTCCAGTGCTTTTGGGACACACGGAGCGGTCGGGGGAGCTTGTTTAGGCTGGTGGAGGAGATGCTGAGCACAGGGCTGTCTCTCCTCGGAGGATGACTCTGGATACAAGTGTTGGGGTGCTCCAGCAAGAGGCAAAAAGGGATGTTATGTTTGGTTCAAGCCTTTAAGCAGAGCTGTGAGCTGGGAGGTAATTCCCTGCTCTGATTTCCGTGGAGGAATCTAAACTCCCTGCCTGTCTCTTGATTCACAGGATGCAGGAGGCACAAAGCAAAATGAAAGACAAGTGAGGAAAAAAGTGAGAAAACAACATCTTTTCCTATCCTTATTGTTTAAAGAGAGAAAACAGTAATACTGAGAGAGCTCAAGAGCTCTTTATTTTTCATTTTTCTGTGCTTGAGAGACAAGTTGTGTTCACCTGCTTTTTACTGCTTCTGATGATCCGGAATCACCTGAAAGTGGGAGATTTGGAAACAATTAGAACCCTTTAAAAACAGGAGGCAAAACCCCAAGCAGGCTGCAGGGTGACAACACCTGCTCTCTTGCTCATCACCAAAGGAATGGGGGCCTTTCTGCTTTAGAGCCTAAAACGAGAACTTACCTATTGTCCAAAATTTTGGTGAGCCCAGGAATTCCTGTGTTTCTAAGTGGCTGCTCTGTTTAATATTTGTATTTTAACAGCTGCAAGAGCACAACTACTGCAGGGCTTTTCTTTGTTCCTGCATCTGCATTGTATTTGTCAACTGCTTGGGGACCTCTTCTTGGTGGGATGCTGTTGGGAAGTGTTTATAGGGATGTTTTCCTTCAGAGATGTCAAGAGCCTTTTGGGCTTCGAGAAGGTGCTGTCTGTTGAGGCTTTGAAGGAAGGCTTGCTCTCGTGGTATTAAAACCCATGTTCATTCAAGACCTGAAGATCTTCATAGAAAAACCAGATAACCCTGAGAAACTGAGCATGCACGCTGTGTGCAGACATCAACTATCACACCCTAAAAGAGTGCACGTGAATCTAAGTGACTTCTTAGCACAAGAGAAAACTCTGACCTGCTCAGCGTGAAGTTAATTTACCACCAGGCTTTGCTTCTAGCAGTTGCTAATGATTTCTTGGGTTTTTTTTCTGTTGTAAAGAAAAAATCTTGTAAGGGCTCGCTGGCAAACAGAGAGCTTGTATTCCTCCTGCCAAGGGACAATTTAACTTGCAGACAAAGACTTGGGGGTTGCACGGCTGGAGGGGAGCTGCTGCTTTGCTCCATGGAGATCAGGGCTTGTTAAATGAGGCCATGTGAATCACACTCAACTGCCACCTGCCTCTGCTGAGGCCCTGTATTGGTCTAGGGGTGCCCAAAGGTAATATCTGTGCCTGCTTTTTGCTGATTTCCTCCAGGTTTTCATCCGGAGTCGAAGGAGTCGAGTTCTCTTTTGCAGACAGCAGTTTCGGTGTTGCAGAGCTCCTACTTGGACTCTACATCTCAGGACGGTTTTCAGTACAGCCAAGCAATCCTGGTGGAAAACGATGTTTTTTTAAGTGAGGTAAGGCCGGTGGGGGAGCAGGGTGTTGCTGGCAGCTTGAGAAAGGGTGGCGTTTCTTTGAGAGCTGCAGTCTGGTTTATTGGCAGGTCTGTTTTTCTTTTGGAGCACGTTTCTGATCTGCCTGCCTCATAGAGCCCCATTTGCAGTTCCTGACTGAAAGGGAGCCTTTTCTTTGCGTTCTTGCACTTCTTCCTAACCAATCCCATCAGGAACAAAAGGTCCATTCAGCCAATGTTGCCAAACATTCAACAGCAGTTCCTGGAGCAGGCCTTTGGGGCAGGTTGAAATCCTGGTTTGCTACCTAGCAGGAGAGCTTTAATGGTACCGCACTTCTGCTGATTCACAGCGAGGCAGATTTCCATGTGGTATTTCTTTTTTCTGCCCTCACACCTGTGCAGGCACCAGTTTCAACCCTGTTTCCCTTTCTCCAGCTGACTGGAGCGTGTATGGAACCACTTTTAAAATGCCTTCACCCCTCCACTATTGCTGTGCTTGGTGTGGAAGAAAGGCCGTCTTCTCTGGGGACTGGAGATGACCAGATGACCAGTATGCTTGTTGTCATGAATTAAACAGAGCTTAGACATTTTGCTGTCTAAATCTGGGATAGTCTCTGTGGAGCCAGACAAAAAACTGGAAAAGCATGTATCAAGTCATTTGTTGATTTGCCTGTGAGTTCTAAAGCCAAAACAAGCAAAAGCCATGATGAGATTGTTATTTTCTTACCTTCTAACCCTGTTTAAAAAATCCCATCCTTCTACAACTTTTTATTAATGCCCCAAAACATCATGGACTTGGCCCCAGGTCTGTTTGCTCCCATGATGCTCTCCTTGTCTGCACTGAGAACACGTTCTGCTTTAATTGACAAAATCAATTGCAGTAATGTGTTATTGGGCTGTAATTTGTGTAGTAGTCGACCAAACCATCTGAGCTGTAGTCGTGTGATAGCACCTGCCCTCTAGTCAGTAGTCTAGGCTTCGCTGGTCAGGGGAGAGAGAAAAAGAGGGGTGCCTCCAAGCATCTCCCCTTCTGTAGGCATCTTCTCCATGGCTGAGGTGATTTGTCTTCTGATGGCTGTAGCTGGCTGCTAAATGTGATGCTCCAGCAGCCCACGTGCTGCTCGGTGAAACAAGCTCCGCAGCAGCCGATGATGCGTGGCAAGAGGGACAAGGTGGAATAAGACTGGGCTTCTCTGGGATGAGGAGTGTAGGGCTGGATGTGTCTGCTGTCCCTTGGAGGACTGCTGAGGGCAAAGGCAGAGACGGATGGACAGACAGATGCATGGATTGGGGGCTTTGTGTTGGGAGACTGGGTGTATGTATGCCTGGGGGGGGGAATGTGTGGGCACGGGAACTGGTCCAGCATCACCTGGCTGCTGCCAGCTGCCCCGTGCTCACCATGACTTGGAAGTACTTGGCACACGTTGCCCTCACACCATGAACGTGTTACTTGGCTCTGGCATGAATGGACTAGAACAAAGTGCTGTTGTATCTTCTCCAGCTCAAAGCTTTTGCCCAAGCAAAGGAAGCCGCCGGGTACAGCCAGGAGGAGCTGCAGGAGACCTTTGCATTTCTCCTGTTTGATAACGAAGAAGAGGTAACCCAAAATGTTTATTCAGCTTAAGAAGTTTGATGCCAAATGCCTGCGCATGTGTTCTGTCCCACCAACACCCAGCAGGTCTGTTGACAGAAGTGTCCTGGCTCTCTTTACCCCAGTGACCAGTGCAATTACTACTGCACAAATAGTCCAGAGCGAGTTCTGAATGCAGCTCCTGGGAGGTTTTAGCGATGGATCTTATTGTACATCTCTCCAGTCAATTACTGTTTGAGATCTGGCCGCCTCCTTTGCCCTCTGCAGGGAGGCAGAAGGAGTCTTCCTTTTCCAAGTGGATTTATGGTCAAGTACAGAAACCTTTCATGTATGCTTAGAAGAGAAAAGCACCTTTGTGACAGAAGATAGGATTTTAGAGGTGGTTTGAAGTTAAATTCCCTTAGTTGTGTCACCTAGGTGGAGAGAGAGCCTGACACAGCTACTGGGAAGGTGATTCCTGCCCAATTTTCACAAGGATGCTTTTAATTTTGTGAAGAGAGTTTGTCTACACAAGGATGCTCAGGGAATCTAGTGGGAATTCGCTTTTAATGTGATTTAATGATGCCATGCTAAATGGTTTTGTTCAGGATGAGAGTGGCCTGAATGCAGATTACTTCTGTATGGATTGAGTTATAGCAAAATAAACTATTCCTGGTCTCAGTTTGGGCGTGGGAATTGTCCTGCTTCATTTTGGCTGTTTGGAATTTAGTCTGTGCCAAGTGACTGAGCTCCTTGTACAGACCTTAGGAAAGAGGGAGCTCTCCAGAGGTCAGTTAGACCTTGTTTAATGCAGGCATCTAACTTCAGTGGGATAAATCGCTCTCTGGAGGTGTCTCTCTGTTGTTCAGAGAAGTCTATCTGGCTAGTCTAAGCTAGCCACTTGCCTTTTTGGAAGCAGAAGTTAGGTGTGATGAGTGCCCCGTGTTGCTTATAAAGGGACTGGCTACAGTCGGACTGCTTTGCTTTTATTTCTCCCTCATAACGAGTTGAAACTGCTCCTGTTGTCACTCTTTGCTCCGTCTATATTTGGCCTTTGCACACTTTGATGAATCTGCTTTGGATGTGAATTAAAACAAAGCTGGTGTGATGCTCCTAAGGTAGTAGTTGTGCCTATGGAGGAGTGAGCACAGGTTAGAATATGTTCTTGGCCTTCGTGCCAGCCCCGCTGCATTTAATTTTCCACAACTTGCCCATGCCGATAAAAAAGGAGCCAAGTCCAACCTTGCACTTGCAGTGGTTTCTGGGCATGCTGGGACTGTAAGGATCTTTAACGACCTTGCAGCACGTGTTTGCCAGTTGCAGGTATTTTGCCAACTGTCATGCTACAGGTTTCAGTAGCTGCATCCCTTATTTTTGAAAATAAATAGTAAAAGAGACTGTCTCTTCTTTTGAAGGCGAAAGAGGTGTGTCAGACAGGCCTCCGTGTAAACAGCAGCTCTATTTCCACGCTTGGTGACCCAGCGAAAGGTAAGATTTCCATTCAGAGGACCAAGAGACCTGTTCACTGTTCTGGGGATATTGACTCCTTCAACAAAAGCAAAAGCCCAGACAAACGGCTGGTACTGCCTTGTTATTTACTGCAAATATCCATGGAAAATCCCATGTTTCTTACATGGGAAGCTGCATTTGTTTAGATCAAGCAAGCAGCAGTGTTTTCCTTCTGCCCCTTCAACCAGATGAGGATGGGATCTTCCCCAGGGAGTGTTATTGTCTCTTTGCTTCTTCATTTCAGGCTTTTTCTCCCTTGGTAATAACCACCTTTGTCACCAAAGTGGCTTTTTGGCAGCTCTCCCCACTGGTTTGCTTTTCGGAGCCTGTTTGCTGAGCTTTTGCCAACAGTCCTGTTAATAACCAGAGCAGATTGTGACATGTCAAAGCCCTTTTCAGTGTGTGCGTGTTCCTTGCCCAAAGGTCTGGGGCCTCAAGACGTGCAGTGCAGGACACATTACTCCAAGAAATCCTTCTGCCAGAAGCAGAACAGCTCCCAGTGCTTATCCTGCAAGTCCTTGCAGGCCGAGACACCTAATTATTGAGCGGTTAATGGCAGTGAATGCAAAACCAAGCAAGAAGTGGTTATTATCTGGGTGTATATCTTATTCATCTCAGTCCATCAGGACTATTATGGTGTGTCTGTAGCCCTTCTCCTGCCCTGTCTCCCCCACCATGTACTTCTTTACCCATCTTGTCTACAAATCTAAAGCAGGAGGGAAGATCCAAGGCCCCCCCTCAATAAGTCAACAAATCCTGTGCATGGAGAAGAGATGGGAATCAACCTTGTCAGAACCTTGTCACAGGGTAGAAGGTTCATGTTGGCATTTGGGATGCTGAAGGGCCATAAGGAGCCAAGGAAGGGGCCCAGGAGGGTGTATGCCATGCCATGGGCCTGCACTCATGCCCTTGCAGTGTGTGTTCCTCACGTATAAACATCCGTGTTGCCTTTGCCTGACTCCAGACTGAGCAAAGTGCCTGTCCCACTTCCAGTCCAACCTGGAAGCCCTTCAGCAGATTCTCCTGTGAGAGACAGGCCCTCGCTCACAACGTTTTTGCGTAGTGTGGGCGAAACTGAGGTTAGCTGTGCTGCTTTTCCCAGGAGACACCCAAGTTAACTCCTTTCCTAGAGCTGACCCTGAAGCATATAATGCTGTTCCATACCAGCAGTCAAAAAAGAGGAAAGAGTCAAGAGTTTCACCCTTTTTATGGCAGCAAGTACTACTCTGGTTTGCAGCACGGGCTCTGCGGACACTCCCATTTCCGCAAGGAGGGTTCTTTTTGGCCATTGGCTTTACAAGACTGATGATTCACATTATCTGGCTTTGCTTTGTTTCCACAGGGGTTTATATTTCCAAGTATGCAGACTGTCTTCATCCAAAACCCTGGTATCATGGAAAATCAGGCTATATCGTCATCTGTAAGCTAATTAAGGTAAAAATCAAATCTTTCTTCTCAGGTGGAATGGCTTTCAGAAGCTGCTATACAGGGAAAGTAGTCTGTAAGGGGACATTGGTGCCCATAACTGGGATGGGGTGTAAAATCGGATGTGTTGAGAGCTCGTTGGGATTTTTGCCAAAATGTGTCTGGCTAGAAAGCAAGAGATCTAACTGGTCATGACTGGTGGCCTGCAGGGCAGCAGAGGGTTCAGAGGACCTTCCAGATTTCACCACTGACATTGGAAATTCCCCATAGGGTCACCTTTTTCCCTGGACTTTCATGCATTCTGGGGATTTGAGGGAAGAGCTCTAAGGTAGCTCAGTTCACAGCCCCGTTCTGTTCCTCCATGGGGCTGGTGCGTGGCCCCTTTCCTCCCCACTGGCTCCTGCTCTCTGTAGCTGGCACTGCAAACACGCTGCTCCCGTTTGCTGTCCTGGGCAGTGCAGGTTTGTCTGCCATGCTGAACTGGGCCGGGTCAGACCCTCAGGTTTGGAAGTGATGGGGAGTGTGGGACAGCCAGCAACACTGTCCTTGGGGAAAAGGAGAACTCAGGGCTTCTGCCAACAATTATGTGTAAATTTTTTTTTTTTGGTAAATTTTGTGGCACAGGGGAAGGTCAAGGTGGTGTCTGAGAATTACACAATGTGCCCATCTCCTGGCTACGACTGCCATGTTGCCGTGAGCAGAAGCAACGTACCGTCAGAAACCAGCCACTGCCAGGCCTTCGAGCAGAGCCAGGTACAGGTTTGCACTCTCGGCTCGCTTGCGGGCTGCAGGGGAACGCAGCGCTGGCCCAGGTGCCTCCTTCATTCCTTGCCTTGTTTTTTCACGTGTTTCCCTTCTCACCTCAGTATTACGTGTACGAAGTGTCCAACGGCAGTGCTGCCGAGCGGCCCAGGCAGATCTGCCCGTACATAGTCATCGCCTGCCAGTACAGGGAGCCGAAGGAAATGCCTGTCTTGGCTATGGAGAGTGTGTAAGCAACTTGCTGTCATTCCAAAATACCCAGTCACTTTTGTAGGCTGTTTTTCCTTTTCCCATTGCTAAATGTTCCTCTTTTCTTCTGTTTTCTCTAGACCTGAGCTTAATCACAAAGGTAAGAGCATCTGGTAGTTGTTTTTTTTGTTTTTTTTTTTTAATAAACGTACCTTTCTCTGTTTGTCCTCCTCTCCTCTCCTGCTTTCTCTGAGCCGTTCTCCCTTTTGCCTGTAGCGTTGTACTGTCCATGGAGGGGACAGCTCTCCATCCAGGGCCAGCTTTTGTGCAACATCGCCCTGAGGACCCCATACAGCTCCACGATTCCAGCACAGCTGTAAGTCGCCCCTTTCTCTTCTTTCTGTGTGATTTGTGGAGTGTGAAGCATTACACCTTTGGGTGTCTGTGTACCAGCGAAAGCCAATTTTGTCTCTGTTGCCCCATCCCTTTAGGGATCAGCGTCTTCTTGCAGCTGTACCAATTTACCACTGTTGGAGCAGACCATCAGTGGCAGGGAAGTGGTGCTGAGCAGCCAGCGGTGCAGTGTCACAGCAGCAGCAGGATGAGGACATGAGATCGGTCCCTGAACAGCAGCTGGAAACTGCTGTATTTTTTGCCATGTCTTTTTGTTAACTGCTTCAGGAAGTTTATTCCAAATCAGTTATTCCTGCTTGGGTTTTTCCTCCTTGTGAAAGGTGGCATCCTGATGATGCCTGTATGGTCAGCCAGTTGTGTTTACAGGTCGGCACAATGGCAAATAAAGTATTGAGGCAACTAGCATTCAAAAAAATGAGATATTTAAAACCTTCAGTAATCAGAAGCCAACTAGCAGGCAGCAGTTTGAAACAGGCAGTGACTGTCAGTGACACAGACACCAGTATCAGTGTTTGGAGATGTTTACAAACACGATCCTCAAATCAGCAAAGTGCTAAGCAAGCTGCACCTTCTCCAGCCTTCTCCAGAGCTACTTTCTCTGGTTTTAGTGACAGGGCAACCAGGGCTCTTACTGGGCTTAATCCTGAGCGCCTTCTGTGCTTGTGATCTTACCATCTGCTGCTTTATTCCCACAGGCCTCCCAAGCTGGACATGAACCATGTCATGGGTTTGTCTGACTTGAAGAAAAAGCTACCAGAGGCTGCATTTGGGAAAAGAAATTACATTGAGAATGAAGGTGAGTGCAAAACCCTTCAGCATGATGATGTATGCTTGGGCTGTGCCGTAGCGGGTCCAGGCTGAGGTCCACGTAGTGCTGAGTCCTGTCTCAGATGGTGGATGATTGGAGATAAGTAAGGAAAGATGCCAAGGCAGCACAGGGATGTTTTTCTGTCCACACTTTCACATGATCTCCTGGTGTGATACAGTCCTCTTACCAAAGCAGCTCTTTAATCAGCCTGTTCCTGGGACAGGACAGGGTGGGAGACCCTGTTTTGAAACCTAGGCTTCCATCCTGCAAGGTGCCAAGCAAGAGAAAATGCAGGGAGAGAAACTTTTCCTCTTCTTACATGATCTGCCTGTGAGGTGAGGGACATGGCACCTCTTAGGCTCTGATCCAGCAGCTCCTGCATGTGGGCAGGTGGGGGGTAGCTGCCAGCCAAAGCCAAAAGATGTGGCTACCTGTAGTAGCTCTGCAAGTAGTCATGGGTAACCTACTCAGCACTTCCAGGGAACTGACAGTCTGAGAGGGGGAGAGTCCAGAGATCTTGTGGAGAGACGGAATGTTCAGCAATAAGGGGAAAAAAAAAAAGCACAGGTTTGGGGAAGGGAGAGGAAGGTTCTACTGATCACTTAGTGGTGCTAAGAGACCCTACTTGCCTATAGTCAACCACTCCCTGCCCTGGTCAGTGCAGGATGGGGAGGAGGGGACCTGTGCCTAATTACATTTCAGAGTTCGCACTGCTGGCTGCTTTTGGGTTGGGATTTCGATGAGCTTGGTAGCTCTCAGCCCCAGAATATTGAGTTCCTGATGGCTGTTAGTGGCTGCGCATTGCAGCAGACACGCAGTTACTGGCAGGGATACAGCAGGTGGCACATGGACAACTCTGGATGTGATTTGCAGAAGCTCCAGGTGCTGTTTCCCTGCTATCTTGCACCAAAATAAGTGTGGGCTGCTGCAGTGCTACCTCCCATCTGTGTAGCGGCTCTGCTGAGCCAGGCCTGATCGGGGTTAGCATTGAGCTCACGGTGCAGATTGATGCAGGATAATGCCAAGGACAGCGGGAGAGGCAGGGGAAGTGTGGGAGACCACAGCAATGCTTGATCAAAGGCTGCTGTTGGAGCCACAGTCTTACAGCTGGCTGATGAAGGTGAGGAAATACTTGAACAGAAGAATTTTGCCACAAAGTTCAGTGGGGTGAGGTGGGACCGCGATCTTGCCTTCGTTAAACTCCCTTTGGGATCTGGAATAAGGATGCTCTGTAACTGGGAGAGTGTGGCATGTTAGAATGAGGTGTTTCCCAATGAAAGGCTCCCTGTCTCAGCTAAAGGACACAGTGTTGGTTAAGTTGCTTTTGTTAGCGGCAAGGATAAGATAGGAAACGTCTCCTGTGAACCACGGGTTGAAGAGGAAACTCACTGTGATAGGAATCCATACACCAGCTTAGGAAATTGTGAGAAATCTTTTTTAAACCCAGTGCTTCCACCCACTGCACACCCATCTTCCTGGTATGGGAGCACTTGTTTGTTCAGAGGTCATGCAAGAGGCACTATTTACCCACTAAATTCTCTCTCTTTTGCCTGCAGTCTGTTTTCAAGGTGTTTACTTCAGTCTGTATGAAGTAGAAATATCAAATAAGGATCAATCTAAAATGGATCAGTTAGTAGAACACCTAAAGGAAAAGGACTTGGTAAGTATTTTAAAACATTGTCGTTGTGGAAGGAAAGTGGCCATTTAAATGTTCTCTTGAAACTTTTGGCAACGTTATTCGCAGATTCGGAACTAATGCAAAATGGAATGAATATCCCTTCTTTAAGTATTATTTTCCTGCTGTGTTATTCTCAAACATGGTTTAGTCTTTCTGTGTATAAACTGTTAACTGAAGATCACCCACTGTGAGCTGGGAACTGATTTCTAGGATGAGCAGAAGGCATTATACCAGGAAAATCTCTTCTTTGGCTATATTTATGCCAGATTAGATTATTTTATTGTCTTTATTAATGATTTTCCATCTTGCATTGCGAACAGCGTGGTGGGTAAGGACTGCAAGGGGATCTGATGTGTTAAGAAAGCAGAAGCAAAGACCCCCAGTGCCAAAATGATAATTAGAAAGCAAAAACCTGTCACGTGTCTGCCTTTCTCTCCTCGTGGCTGTCAGATTGCCCCCACTCAGCCAGATACTCAGGCTGCCGAAACCTCGGGGTCTTCCGGGAGCTCTGAAGATGCTGAGATTTATCTTTTTGGTTTTTAATCAGAAATTCCCCTTGTGCTACATTATCTGATAAGGCTTTTTTTCTGGTACACTGGGATCTTTGAGTTCTTGTGTGATTGTTACATCTCCTTGTGACTCCAAGGGATGAACCTCACCCCTGTGGAGCACAGCACCCGTGTCTTAGTCAGGATTTGTGGTTGGCTTGGGTTTGGCTTTGTTGCTGCTGATTGCTCTCTCACATCTGATGCTTTCTGTAGATTCAGGGTTGTAAATTCACTGCCACAAACTCCTGGCTGGCTGGGCATATCCTTCCCTCACTCTCAGTTGGCAGCGACCCATGAACTGCCTGGAAGTGCTGTTGCTGTGCGGTGTTGCTGAAGAGCTGCCCATCGATTTGCAGCTTCCCACATGTACCAGAGCCAGTGTTGGCTGTGGATCCCCGTAACAAAAGCTCTCAGATTCTTTAAAGTATTAATTAAACTATCTTTTATTGGTAACAACATGAGAATCAAAAATGGGGACAGCAAAGACACTTAATGCCCCTTGACATATGGGGAACCCTGAACTGTGCAGCAGCAGTCGGACCCATGGTTGGGGCAAAGATCTATCCATGTTGCAGCTCAGCTTGAGGTTCTCAGCATCTGAAGGGACATAAGCTTGTCTATGCTTATCCCCTTTTTCTTCCCCCATTCTCACCAATAAAGAATATTTTAATCAATCCTTCACAGAGTCCAAGTGCCTTTCTTACTGGGATCCGTGACAGCCGCTTGTTCTGGTGCGTTACACCATGTTTGCAGCCACTGAAGGTTATAACGTGCCTCCTGCCAAGCTGGAGGTTGCAAAGATAAGGTGGTTGAATTGGCCATCAGCAGTTTGGTATTGAAGGCCATCAGGAGCATTGTTTCCCTAGAGCTTCCCCACCCCCATATATCTGTCAAACTGGACAAATCTCCCTTATTTTGGCAAATAAACAGTCACAGCCCCTTTTGAGTGTGCTTCTTCCCTCCCCTTAGCGCGCTGTTGAATGGGCCATGGGAGAATCTGCTTTGGCAGCAACTCCCAAAAGTGTGAATGAAAAATGCCTTCCATCTCCCGTCCCATTCACTGGTGCTTGGGCCAGGCACCCCACCTTGTACAGGGCCCAAGTGAAAATGAAAGGGTGACTGGGGCAAGGTGGGGTTGCCTGAGGCTGGCTGCACTCCTCTGGGTGCTGGGTGATGTCTCTCAGCTCTCTGTCGGGTGGCTGCTGCCCTGTGGCTTGACTTCCCTCCTCACCTGCCAGAAAATCATCCTCTTTTTCGGAAACCGTAGCTATTTCATTGATCTGGATTTATGCAGCAGAGATGCTGGCTCCTATTCCTTCTCTGTTGGCTTGAGACAACCCCAGCAAGGAGCTGCTGTTCTGAATAGTGAATGTTAGGCTGAAATTGGTCAGCGTTTACGGAGTTGTTCTGTTGTCCTGGAGAAAGGAGGCTGTGGGCTGAGGATCTGTTACGTCTGAACATACTGAATGCAATTGGCAAAGTTTCACACGGCGTTAGAAGCCACAGGCTTACTCTATTCCTGTAAGTTTCCTGAAGAGATGTGTCTGCATGGAAGAGAAAGATCCAAATGGGTCTCCCCAAGGAGGGAAAGACAGCCCAAGCCAAGCTCTGCGATGAGGCATTGAGCAACACCCAGACACAAGAAAAGCTTTGATAAGTGCCTGTACTTTTTCAGACGTGCTGTCATCCAGCTCTGAGACAGTCACAGGCATCTCTTAGACTCAGCAAATTGTTTTTCACATATTCATTGATACTGATGCTGCTAATAAGCAAGCTGCATGGCCTGAACTTCAGTCGGGCTTCTGGCAACAGTCGGCTCTGTTTTGTCAGATGCTGGTGTCCAGCTTTTCTTTCCCTGCTGGAAAACCCTCCCTTTAGGCTGCTGAGAGCAATTCCTGGCTGAGGTGAGCTTTTGAACTGAAGGGACTAAAATTAACCCTGTTCATTAATTGCAGACAGTTTGGCTAAGCATAATTATTTTTTAAGATGTACGTAGGGGGAAGTTGAGAGCTGAATAACAACATAAATGGAACACTTGGGGTTACAGGTCCCAGTTGACCCAAGTGGCGTGGACCAAACGCTGCTCTCCTCAACAGGGAGTGAGCTGGTGGTGTTGGCTCACGTTCACAGGCAGTCAGGACCTGTTGACAGTCACGCTGAGTGATTTGAAGTGTGCTGAGAAAGAAAAGGAGTTGTTACTCTAACGTTGTGTGTGTTTGTCATAGGCAATCATCAAATATTTACAAGATCAGGGAGTCCTTATCCTCCTGACATCCTCTGCCCTGGCACGAGATGATGGTAAGACATGGTTGCGTAGAAACCAATATCTGTGCTTAAACATCCTGCTCTGTTTTAGAGACGGAGGGTGGGCACCCTCAGTCTAACCTGTTGCTTTCTCTCACAGGGTTCGACCCGAAGGAGCCTGTCAGCCTCCTGGCCCTCTTTCTGTTCACGTCATCCCGGTCGGTGTGCCTAAGAGGTAGGGAGGTTCCCTTTGCTGGCTTCAGACACTCGTTTGGGTGTGGGTTCTCACAGTCAGATTCTTCTTGAAGAGCTGGTTTCTCTGCTCAGAACCACCTACAGCTTTATCACAAAGGGAGATTTTCATCAACATCCACTCCCTGAACTGTCCTGTGTGTGCACGGGGGAGTCTGACTTCTGCAGTGCCTGGCTTATGTCCTTAAAGGTGGACTTGGATCCATGCTCAGGGGGCAAAATGACACATGGCACTCACTGGACCCTGCACGGAGCTGATGTGATTTGCTAAACCAGCAGGAAAACAGCCTGCCTTAAAAAAATAAGTGAATTGTTTTCGGCTGAGATAAGAGTATAGGCTCCGTGAAAGGTCACTGGTGGCGTTGGCAGAGGTAGGAGAGGTGGGGAAGGGGTTTGCTCCCAAAGAGCAGCAAGGGTTTGGAGGCTGAGCCGTATTGTGTGACTGCTCCGCTGCGGGCTCCGTAAATGCCACCAGCGGGGCTGTGACGACCGGTCAGGGTGCGTGATGGGTGAGGGAGGGAGGCAGCAAGATTGTGTTGGGCAGAGCTGCAGTGCTTTGCTGCCATCAAGGTGAGTCACGGCTCTGGGACCTGGGAGGTGAATCCAGGCTGTTTGCAGCCCCAAAACGTGCTTCTTTTCATGCAGAACAAACACAGAGGGGCTAAATAAGAGAAAGGAAAGATCTCACAATTTGAACCTGCAGAATGAGCATCAACCTCTGTTGGATTTGCCTCAAATTTTCTCTGTCTCTGCTAGCTTTCTGCTGCCCTGTCTACGTGGAAATATTCACACTACATTTTCCTCTTGTGGGTATAAGGAAAGTTACTGCTCTGCTCCCCTGGACAGCTTCATCTGGGTATCTCTCGCTGCATCAATTCCACCAGTGATACTTCTAGCTTTGCAGATCCCCAAGCCACATAAACACAGGGGCTTTTTGCTCTCCTTTTTGGCTTCTGGCTTGGTTTTTGTTGAGTCATCCTAGGGACAAGCCAGGAGACTGTTTATGCCAGCGCACACGGGTGTTTCAGTCCACCTGTGTGTGTGCAATGGCTGGGATTGCCGACGGAGCTGCACAGGACTTGCCCATCTCCCCTCCTCGGAAGATAAAATTGGCAGAGGAGCCGACAGGACCCACTGGCACATCCAGGCGTGGATTGCTTTGTCCTTTTCGGTGTTTAACCTCCAGCTATAAACTTCCTCCTTCCAGATCTGCATACGAAGTGGGCTTGTAAGCCGGGTGAAGACGTGTTGGTAACCTGGCAGTGTGGGATGCAAATGTCTTCAATACCTGAATTCAGTTCCCCTAACTTTAAGGACGGGCTTCTGGTGGCTGTGTTAGTGTGGCAACTTTTCTAGTTTCTTTTCTAGGTGTAGGAGGGAGACAGCCGCCTTCTGAGGCAGACTGAAAATCCAAAGTGCCAGGTCAAACCTGGGATCAGGTTGTTGCTGGAATGCCTGAAGCAAGGGCCTGAAGTTGGGTGAGGTGAGGGGGCAGAATGCCTGGAGAGCAGACTGGAGGTGGGAACTGACCACCCAGATCTGCTGCAACAGGCAGAAAATACCCTCCAGAGCAGAGGGGTCTAATCCCAAAAGGCTGACTGTGAGCACTGTATGCTGGGGGAGAGGAGAACAGGACAAGGAGGTATTTATCTTGAAGAGCGTTATTGTGGAAGAAGGTGGTGGAGGCAGGAGAGGGCAGCAGGTGTAAGGAGCATCCCAGAGGAAAGACAGTGCAAGCAGCTGGTTGGTAGGAAGATTTGGGGTTGTAGCAGACGTTTCCCGTGGTTGGTGTTGATGCTAAAGAGGAGGCAAAGCCTGGGCAGCCAGCAGGCAGCTGGTGGCAAAGCAAAGAGGCAGGAGGAGAGGATAACATGGAGTAAACACTCAGCGTCGTTACGTGTTGTGACCTGAACGTTGATGGCTTCCAGATGCTTTCCCTCTGGTGCCAGCAGGATTCCTGCACGTGCTGTCCCGTTCTGCCTACATGAGCTGCATTACCCCAGCCAGCCCTGACTGTCCCCTGGGTCTGAGACCTCTTTTTGCTGGGATTATAAACCCTTTTTCCTTGAGGGCTTCTCCTTCCTGTGAAGATAAGTGGATCTGTGCAAGGGTTTGGGGTTGAAAAGGGATGGTCACCAAACATGGGTGCAGAGGAGACGCAAAGAGAAGAGGGTGACGGACGCGTTTGAAGTCGCTCAACTCTGACTCAAAGCATGAATCATGTTTCCCGTTTCGAAACGAGCAGCCTCTCAATCTGTTCCCTTCCTGTCCAGACAGCCGTCGGGAGGAATGCAGGGCAGGCATAACAAGCCCGCTGTGCAGATGTGCCACAGCGTTCCTGAGCCAGCAGCGGAGTCTGGCAGCTGGGAGCTGGCTCGCGGGGATGCCTGGACTTGCCGGTAACAAGGACCAGCATTGCCAGTGCAAGGCAGGGCCAATATGCGAAGAAAGTCACGCATCTGGGAGGGGAAGAGAAATGCCTTTGCCTCACTGGGAGTAGACGTGATGGGAAAGGGCACCGGGGTTGTCAGCCTGGCCTTGCAGCCAAATGAAACCTCGGGGTCGGAGCATAACATGCAGATGGGCCAAGCCTGCGGGTGCAAAATGCCAGCATCGGACCGCTGGATTCTAGAGGATGAAGCCTGGCTCGTGTGGAAGGGGAGCTCCACCGACCGGCTCTGCGTATCACACCAGCTCTCCAGGTGTTTCTGGACACGGAGGGGACGCTGCTGTGCCAAGCAGAGCCTACTTCCATGGTGACGTCTGTGAGCGCAGGCCCCCTCGAGCCTTGGGACTTGTTCATGTTGATCCCTACTGGGAGCTGAACTTTTACGATACTGCGCGCTGTATGTGGG